CCCGTTCCACCCGCGGCTGAAACTGACCAGCAGCGGCTGAATCAGGGATGCCTGGGGAAGAGCAGGGCTATGAGGGGTCTGAGGTCCCACCCCCCCAGACCGCTTATAGCCCCCCCCTTCTGATAGTCCGGCAAATCTGATAATCCGGCACCCCCTGGGTCCTAAAGGTGCCGGATTATCGGAAGTTTACTGTAGTTAGTTTGTGTATACAGTGTGTATAGCTGATAAGTTTTAGGGAAATTTTTTTCCCCAATCTCTTACCTTTCTGTTGGGTTCTGGGGCCACAGGTTTAAACCCTGCAGAACTTGCATTAAGCTTATGCCAACAGGCAACCCTCACAACATGTCTGAAGAGTGCAGAGGAAGCGCAACAAACATAGAAGTGCAAAAAGCATAAAAAGTCCAAGGAGTGAGACTTCCATCTTAAGCAACTTCTGATGTTATCTGCTCTTTGCCCCAGCCTGCTTCAGGCCGTCAGGATCCAGCATCAAGCACGTCCATGAAGAGTTCCCCAACCTCAGTACATGACACAGAGCCCAGCAAGGACTCTGGCCTAAGACCCCCTTGGCAATGACACCACACAAGCGGCACAGAAAGACACACATGGGTCATTCCCCAGCACTCAGCGCCCAGAGAGCAGGAGTCAGCGACGCTGATTTTGGTTCTCTTGAGAAGATCGTCAAGTGCAGCGCCTAGTAATTCCTCAGACAGGCAGTGCCACATGGAGGAGTTGGTGCTATCCTCCACCACGGACATATTTGAAGCTGCCAGGGGTTTAATTGCTTATGAGGACCCAGAGTCTACATCTACACTGCAGCACTATTTCAGGTACTGGAGGTATCCTGAAATAACTATTCCACGTCTTTTGAGCACACCCATTATTTCGAAATATAACAGGCTCTCTAATCTGATGTCCCCGTGCGGACATCAGATTAGACTAAATCTCTTTCCACGAGGATTAAGGATGTTTCGGGATAGATTAAGGATGTTTCGGAATAGCGATGTATTTGTGTAGACTGTGCCAAATTTTGAAATAAGCTATTTCAAAATAACACTGAAATAAAATATGCAATTTGCATAGCTCAAATTGCATCTCTTATTTTGATCTATGGTGCAGTGTTGATGCACCCAAAGAGGACACCCAGTGATGGATAAGACCTGAGTGACAGATCTTAGCAGTGTCTATTGTATTAGAGGAAAGAGGAAGCAGAAAGGAACTAGAGGGATGACTAAGAGCTGTTTTAGCCATGTGGAGCTTGAGCTGACCGCTAAGCATCCATAAGGAAGTATCAGAAGAATAAGCCGACATTTTATTTTAGACAGGAAAAGAGAGAGATCCACGAGTTGTCAATGTAGAAATAATAGTTGAATTTATATTTGTGGATAAGATTACCAAGAGATAAGATGGCAGACGGAGAAGAGAAGGAAACGTAGGACAGAGCCCTGCAGTAGCACAAAAAGTTGAGACGGGAACAGTCCTCCCTGGGAGTAAATGAATGAGTGATTACAGAGGTATTAGAACTAGGAGAGAAGAAAATCACAGAAGCCAAGGGAGGACAAGATTTTAAGATTTTGACCATGGATGACTATATCAGAGGTAGAGAACAAGTTGAGGAGGATGGAGAACTGGTTCTGAGATTTGGTTAGGAAGGGGTCATTGGAGATTTTGGTGGAGTGCAAGAGGTGGAAGATGGATTGGAGAGGGTGTAGGAAGGAACTGGAGAACTACTTCAAACAATGATTGTAAATAGCACATTCAGTTAGCTTAGAGATGAAAGAGATGGGATTGTAGTTAGAGAAGCAAATGGGATCAAGGGGTTTTTTTCAGATTAATGGAGTTAAATAGTGCTTGAATTGTGAGGGGAAAGCTGGAGGAGAGTGGGAGGTTATGAAGAAGAAGAAGGGAGAGAATGAGTGCGCGTGTGAAGGAGACCAGATGAGATTGGATGGAGTCAGTATGAATCCAAGCGTGGTATGGCAAGCGTGGTGGGAAGAGGAGGTCAGATGCTATGTAGCAAAAGAGGGATATGAGGAGAACTATGGGTGAGTGGCAGATGAACACGGTTGTCTCCCCAAAAAAGTCAATTTTATTTTTAATCTTAGCTATACTGTACAGAAATATTTGGTATGAACAGCAAGTTATGAACAAAAAGCTATTTCTACTCATATATTACTCATTTACAAACTGTGTAGGGGATCGTATCCCCCTCAACTCCTTTTAAGGCAAATTAATTTGTGAATACCAAAAAGGCAGACAAGCTGCTTCTATGCATTAGTCTCCATGAAAAATTCCCTTTTGTAATGTTTCCTTCTATTTGTCTAAGTATATTTCACTTTTTCCTTTCTCTGTAGTAATTAACTGTGTATATCTATAACATAACAAATGTTATGCATATCTTTTTCCTTCCTTCCTTCCTTCTTCTGTGTTGAGAATTTAAGTATGTGGCTATTTTAAGGTCATTTTTGGTGGCTGCGTTGATGCTGACAAATAGTATTTGTAGAAAGAATGCAGACTGTCCACTTTCACTTTTGTTCTCAGCTGTGCATTTTTACTTACCTCAGCACCTTGTTGGCCCTATAAGCCTGTATTTCCTGATGGGGTTTTTTTTTGTTTGTTTTAAATTACAGGTCACCATTGGTCAACTCTATTCTACCCAGAAGCTCGTTATTGAGAGTCCAGAAAAAAGGGATAATCTGATCATCTAGCACCGTTAGACCATCCGCAGCATTCTGTAGTGCTGCACATCAATAGCACAGTGTGTATGCACCCTGTCTGTGTTGGAAAAAACCAATGTCCAGTAAAAGATAAAGCTTTTGAAATGCTCAGCTTTTGGCAACCAAAGCAGTATAGAATTTCTCTTCTCATGGTTCATGCTTTGTGTGTAATGTATTCCTAATGCTATTGGCTAGTATTTAATGTGTAATGAGACCATTTCTTGGTCTTATTTGACAATAAAATTCCATGAACCGAATACTTGTAGTCAGCTATGTTCTACTCCCAGTGATCTTCCTGCTAACTTACCTGGCTTGTAAAGGACAGCAGTTAATGTTTCAACCAATGATACAATTGTTTAAAATGGCTTTTTATATGGAACCCCAGTTCATATAGAAATATACAGCCTACAGTGACTAAACAGTTGAATTTGGATCTGTTGTGGGTAAGTTCATGTTAAATATTTTATTTATTTATTAATGCCATGTGAAATTTGACAGAGGCCTTTAAGTAAAACAAAGTTACTATGTTATATCCAGGATCTCAACACGTACAAATATAAAAGGTTAGACTGTGTGGCTGCATTTAAACAGCATTTTCTTTAAATTTCATAAATGACAAACAAACCTTACTAATTTTTATTTTATTAATATGAAAGCTCAAACTTTCCTGGAAGCCTACCAGTCTCATCTCACTTGTGAGTTAATAACTTGTAATAGAATTTTAGCCTCATCATTACTGAGACTTCAGAACTTTGAAAATAAAATTACATCATTGTTCCTTATTTTAATATACTAAACTGTAACTTGCAATGTAAAGGAACAAAGCCTATTTTGCAATAAAAAATGTTGGTATATTACCCTTATTACACATACTTGCAAAGTTAGATAATTGTGTGTGAATGGTGAGGTTGGTACATTTAATTCAGAATTTACACAAATTATTTCCCATTTCTGTTGAGGAATGTATACGTTTCTACACACTGGCTCAGTGTCTCATGTCTGTTCTGCAGAGAGTAGGTATGTAAGAGACTAGTCAATTAATCAGCTACTTGCATTCCCCCCCACCTCCCACCCCGGCTGCCTCAAGGGGAGAGAGCAGGAGCCAGTGCAGGGGGGAGGCAGCTTAAAAGCCAGTTCCCCCAGCACAGCCTCTGCTACCCCCAACTGCAGTGTTTCTTAAACTGTGTTTGGTGGCACACCTGTGTGCCGCAAGGCAGTTGGCGGTGTGCCGTAGAGAACAGAATTCAAAATGGCCACCCTTAAAGGGAAAGGCGACTTTTTTCTTTTTTCCTCAATAACTTTCCCCTGACCCTTTTTCCCCCCAACCTTTTTTTTTTCTAGTCAACAAAAAATCCTTGGTGTTCCTCATAAAAAAATTATCGTTTGGTGTTCCTCGGTCTTAAAAAGTTTAAGAAACACTGCCCTACTGCCTCCATCAATGACAGCAGACGGAGAGGGGCAGAGAGGCTGCTCCAGCAGCAGTCCCTGTCCGCAGGAGGTCCCAACTTCCCATTGGGATCCTTGGCGGACAAAGGCTGCTGCTGCGAAGAAGCCGATCTGTGGCCGTGTGCCTCTTCGCAGGCAGCAGCCACTGTCTGCAGACCCTCCCCATGGATAGGGGCTTCTACTCCTGGGCAGGCAGCCCCGCCCAGTCCCAGCTTATGCTAGGACCAAACTCCACTGCAGCTCTGCAATTTAAAAGGCAGTAGGAGCCGAGAAGGCTGTCCGCTGGCATCTACTGCATTTTAAATTGCAGAGCCACAGCAGGGTTTGGTCCCCAACCCAGTGTGAGCAGGGACTGAGCCAGGCTACCTGCCCACCTGGCTCCTACTACATTAAGAACCTGGGCGGGCAGGCAGCCTGGCTCAGTCCTTGCTTGGGATTTGCTCCCAGCGTAAGCCAGGACTGAGGGTACGTCTAGACTACAAGCCTATTTTGAAAGAGGCTTTTTCGAAAGAGCTCTTTTGGAAAAGCCTCTTTCGAAAGAGATCATCTAGACAGCCATAACACTTTCGAAAAAACGATCCACTTTTTCGAAAGAGAGCACCCAGGCAATCTGGACACTCTCTTTCGAAAAAGCCCTGTTTGTGTTCAAGAATGCCTTTTTTCAAAGGAGCTTTCGAAAAAGCATTCTTCCTCGCAAAATTAGATTTACTGCTGTTGAAAAAACTGCCACATTCTTTTGATTTAATTTTGAAAGAACGTGATGGTAGTCTAGACGCAGGTGAAGTTTTTTCAGAAAAAGGCCTCCTCCCCTCTCCCCCCCCCAAAAAAACAACTCTGTAGTTTAGACATAGCCTGAGTGGGGCGTCCTTTCCCTATCGAGTAGTCAATAAAAATTCTGTTGACTACTCGATTACTAAAATAACCTCAATTTAACATCCCTAGCAGAGTCTATCCCGAGATAGAAAGCAGTTCAGTCTGTATGCCCATTCAGAACTGGATACAGTGAAACACCCAAAGAGGTTGCTTACTGCATTCTATTCACCTTCACTTACAGTAATGCCACAAAAAAGCAATTTTTAAACATATCCATTTGTTAATCTTTAAAATAAGTAAATAAATATAGCCAATAGCAAACAGACATTTCTAAAGCTTTCTGTAATTATCTGTGGACCTCATTCAATGCACATATTGAGTAGTGCATATTGAAATAGGTGGAGTTTCTTAGGGAGATTCTCCTAAGTCAACAACTCAGTAGCTTTACTTTAAGATTCCCTTTTCTTGCAATGGTACTGAGTTCTACAGGAGAGAAAATTCCTGAACGGCTGTACTTTTTTAAAATCTGAAAAGTAAATTGCATGTGTTAAAACAGCATGCTAAACAAGAACGTAATCTTTAAAATCAGTTTTATTTGATTCAGTGCTCCGTGTTCGCTATTATATTTTCCACTAGAAGGTACAGAAAAATTACTCATTATAAAGCTTCAGCACAATGTATAGACAGCTTTTCATGAAGTAGACAGAACTTTGAACCAGGATAGGACCTGTAACATTAATAAAATATCCCTTAAAGTGAAGCTGCATTTATGAAAGCAAAGGGGCAAACTTTCTATTTGTTTTAAATTAAAGAGAGTATCAAACTGGACAGACATATGCAATAAATGTATGTCAATGATGTTTAATTTAGAAGTACTAGTTCGCAAAACCAACTCATTTATAATTCTTAGTAGAATTACCTGCATTTAGCATAGCATTTTGTTAATGCAAAGAGAATAGAAAATAAAGTGCCACTATTGTATTTAAGACTATAAACCAGCCTCAACACTGCTTTTTCACATGGAAAGCAGATAATATAGTATTTCTCCATACGTATGTAAATACAGCAAATATAGATCATTTTGCTACAGAATTAAGGTATTTTATTAAAACAGATTTTTAAATTAGGCTGAATCCCATGGATTAGAGTTTAAAAACATATCACTCAACACTTTTAAATCCTAAAATACACTTAACCAGGCTAATCAGAACACTAGTGTTGCTGGTTAAAGGACAAATGGAAAAATGTAGGTGCCACTAAAGTATTTAATAGCATTAAGATGTTAATTGTATGTTTTCTTCAAAAAAAATTCACAAAAGAAAATGATAGGTCTAGCAATTTGCATTGCTTAAATAAAAGTTATATAAGTGCCTGCTGCTAGATACAATACAGATACATGTATAATGTTACTGCAGCCCTTCTAAAGCTATATCTACACTGCAATTAAAACCTGCAGGTGGCCCTGCTAGCTGGTGTAGTCTCACAGAACTTGTGCTAAGGAGCTGTTTAATTGATTTGTAAACATTCTGGCTCACACTGGAGCCAGGGCTATAGGACCCTGCAAGGTGGGAGGCCCCAGCGTTTGGGCTGAAGCCCAAACTCCTACCTGCTCTTTCCCCCCAGCCACATAAACCAGAGTGACAGAGGCCAGCTGCAGGTATCTTAACTGCAGTATAGTTACTACATCTTTCAATTATCAGTCTAATTTTCCTTAGCCTGCAAAGGATCACTGTAGTATTAAGAGTGCAGATTGTACATATGATAGGCCAACTGAAAACAACATTAACAGAGCAGAAGCCTATGTGCATTGCTTAGTTTCTGAGCTTAGCTAAGGAGACTGTTAAGTCCTTAACACGAACCAACTTCAGTTATATAAAAGCTATAAAATTACTTTATTTAATAAGGTGCAAAGTTAGAAAAGGATATAATCTAGTACAATGATTACTTGTAAATTGCAACACAATTAGTGCGTTTAAGGATGCTCCTTGGAGCTGGGGTATACAAAAATGTCTGTTTACCCCCATTGATGCACTGCATTTGCATCTTCTGATAACATTAATGATACTAGCATGTGCAAATCTATTATACATGACTGAAGCAAGAGATCCATTAATGTTCTCTGTTAATGCATAATGATCATTAGTATTGCATTTGTTGAGAACATATCCCCTGTGTATAAAACTATTGTTATATGCTATATGAAAATATATAATCTTATCTCTTAACAGTGGAATGAAAATGTACTATTGTACTTCACTTGGCTCTTTAGAATGATGGCATATGGAAGGAAAGCCTAATATACATTACATTGCTCATTTAAAAACACTTTTTGGATACACTATTTTCACTAGATATCCATGAAACATACTGGATTTTTGTCACAGCAACGTCAACAATATAAACATGTGAACTTTGTCAGTAAAAGGACTCCCAGTGATTTAATTTAATGTCCCCTATTGTAAAAAGGGATATTTGTTTTTTATTTATAGCAGAGGAAATTTTTAACTAATTTCATACTACTACTACTTAAAATTACTTAGTAAGATACTAATTTTTGTAGTATCATACTGAAAGATCATTTGCTTTACACATGTACCTTTAGCTGTCCCTGACGTCAGCAACCTTTGACTTTACTGATTTGGAAATGGTGTGGCTCAGTATTCATGTTCCAAAATTTGAATGTTTGCACATAACAAAGGTCAAAATAAGAGCTTTAAATAGAAAAATGCAAACAATATTCTGAAAGAGTAGAAAACAGCCTTTTAACTGCCGTAACATGAACAACTGCCTAAAGAACAGGCAGTTCTACAACGATGTTGACATCTGATTAGAAAATCACACTACATTTTGGGTTCGATTTTAAAAGGTCTGGAAATACCAGCAGTATGGCCTTGGTGAATTGAAGCAGACAGACATTACATACAAATATTTATCTGCTCATCACATATACTGTTCTTGTTTAAACATGCCATCAACATAGGGATGTTAAACTTATTCG